TTGTCTGAGGTACAGCTGCTGAAATTTTTTTCCCACATTGTAGGTTGTCTCTTAGCTCTGTTCATGGTTTCTCCTGCAGTGCAGAAGCTTTTTAATAAGATGAGATCCCAGTTGTTGATTCTTTGTGCTAGTTCCCGTGCTACTGAGGTTTTGATCATAAAGTCTTTTCCCATGCCAATGATTTAATGAGTTCAGCTTTCCTGTTGCTCTGTTCTTCGAGTGTTGTGAGCAACAGGAGCTATGGGAACCTTGCCTGACCTCTGCAGAGGATCCTGCTTTCCTGTCCTGCACCCCAATTTGTCTTCTTCAGGGATTGTCAGTCTTATTAGGTGAAAGTCACAGTCCCAGCAGGAATCTCCTGTGTGAAACCCTGAGAGGGCTGGGGTGCGGCTCAGTGGTAGAGCATTAGTAGTGCCTAGCATGAGTGAGGTACTTGGCTCCATCCCCAGTGAAACACACACGCACACACATATGCCTGTGTGCAGACACCCTAACACAATGGAGTTGGGAGTCCATGAAAGTGCAGACATGAATCCCTGTATCAGGACCTCAACATTCAGGTACGCCACTTATGCAAGAGCACCCACCACCATGCCCCAATCTCAGAACCAAGGGTTTTGTTTCAGAACAGTTTAAATGGACCTTCTCCCTTTGTCCTTAACAGTCACCTTTGCCTGAGCCCCTCAGATAAGCCTATGGCACATGTATCTGGGATCCACCTCCTCTACCATGCCTGTGGCCATCACTACCAAGGCAAGTGTGACTGCAGAGGTGGGCAGCTTGTCTGCCCTGCAGGCCTCACTGCCAGTGCTTCACACAGGCAGTTGAGGGGGCAGCAGCTGGGACCCCCCCAGAGCACCAGAGTGGCCAACATTGAGGTGGACAGGGACATGGGACTATGGGGAACTTGGTGTCCCTGATGGGATTTGGGGATGGGAAACACGAGGTTGAGACCAAAGAAGTCTGAAGCATATGGCTCTAATTATCAATCGTGTGTCCACATTGGTCTATCAGTGTGACAAATGTTCATACCACATGGGCAGAGGGCACGATGGAGCTTCCTGTGTGATCATCAGTTTTCTACAAATAGGAAACTCTTCTAAAATGTTACTTATTAGACACAGAGCCTTCTTACATACCTCAGCCCTTAAACTAGCTATGTAGGCCAGGCTGGCTTTGAAATTGTGATTCTCCAGCCTGAATATCATTTAAAATGTTATTAAAAATATGAGGTGCAGTGGTTCTGGCACCTGACTCACAAGTGCAAAGTCCCGAGTTGAATCCCTGGTACCAAAAATAAAAAAAACAAGGGGTGGCACTCACTCTTCTGCTCTGACAGCCGGTGACCCCAAGTGAGTGCCTGCTTCCTTGTGGTGATAGGGATGGGCCCAAGGCTGTCCCTGCACCTGGACCACTGAGCCATGCCACCAGGCACCTCTGGAAACTTGTTCCCTGGTGTGACCACACTGTCCTTGCCTCTGTCTTCTTCTGCTCAATGACCCCAGTGAGGAAGGAGACCCATTGGCAAGATGTCCCAAGCCAAGAAGATCTGGGGCCCTGCTGGAGGGTGAGGCAGAGGATGAGGAGCCCGAGGTGGGTGGAGTGGGAAGAGCTGGCAGAGGGTGCACTTGACCTGCACACAGGCTGCTTCCCCACTCATCCATTCCCCTGGAGCCACTCCTCCAGCTGCTCCCACTGCCTGCCCCTCCCAGGATGCAGTGTAGAGACCCTGAGGATGTGCACAGGTGCACCAGGTCATCCTGGGGGATCTCTCCTCCCTCCGTGGAGTGGGGGCACAGGCAGGACCCTGCAGAACTCTCAGGAGCCTGAACCCCAGCCCTGAGAGCAAGGCGGGGTGGGAGGGCTCCCACTCTGTCCATAGCACAGATGAACCCCACCAAGGTGAGGAATCAGAAGGTTCCCAGGGGGCAGGAGCCCCTTGAACCTTACCAGGGTTATGGTCCTCCTTTTTCACATGCTGGGTGGACAACAGCCCCAAGAAGCAAGCCACCTGCCATTTTTATTAGAGTTCATTTGAACATGAACCTAAACCTTGTAGCAATATAAAATACATTTGCCTTAAACCTCTATAGCCTTTATATCATTACATTTTCCTATAATTTATAAAGTGTGAGAAAGATTATTTTTATGTTGTTCTGTGCTGCATTTCTTAGACTATAAAATGTGGCTACTACAAAGTTTGTGTTTACATAGGTGGCTTGCACTCTGTTCCTGCTGCCCAGTCAGGGCTCCAGGGGCCACCACCAAATGACAGCAAGGACACAGGATAGAAGCATCTGGACAACACACCCAGGAATACGATGGACAAATATCAGACTCATGAAAATGCAGCCAAGAAAAAAAGAAATGACAATTTGGGACAGGGTGAGGTGGACAGAGAAGGAAAGAAACTGTGGAGGAATCTGCTTATTATAGCAGACATTAAAGACATCACCACCTGATCTCAGTTTGCAGATTTTATTGGAATACTGTTTCAAAGAAACAAAATTAAACAACAAATGGGCATTTTCAACACTGACTTACAATGAAATATTAACAACTCGTAGCAACTTGTGCTGGGTAGAACAAAAATGAAACCCAGAAAATAGATGCAAGGAACCTATCCCAAAAGGCACAAAAATATTTTCTAAACACTCAAAAAAATCATTTTTGGAAAGACCTTATATTCTTCACACTTTCTGGGTGTTGAGGCAGTGGACAGAGTATAATAATAATGCAGAACTGACAGCCACCCGATTCCATTGTGACAATGGTTACAGATCAATTTCATCCATTAGGTAGATAGAACTGAGGACAATGTTGAAGAGGGGGTTAGCAGTGATACATTACATTTGGATCTCAAGAAAAACCATGGTGTAGACAGGTAGGAGAAATGGTAACTGGGATATGTATGCCTGGGTGGAAATAACACTATAAATGGCAGGTAACTGGCTAGAAAGAAAATAAGTGCTGCCATGGTGTTGCCCAAGTTGAAGATATCATGTAAAACTGTCAAAGTAACTATGAGACACTTGTCAAATGAAGGAGAACACAGGGGCCTAAACGTTCTTAGGGTGACATGAATCTCAAGCCCTCTGATCCTTCCTGCATTCCAAAATACTCACATGCAGCATGGAGAAAGAACTGTGAGGAACACAATCTACAACATATGGTAAACACAGCCTCACATGTAGAATATAAATATAATATGAGATATAATATAATATAATATAATATGAGGTTTGTGAAAAAACCTTAGGTAAAGGTGTAAATATATGCTTAGGGTAATGTGAAATCTGAGCTATACGATACTTCTGAAATATCAAACAAAACCCATATGCAAAGAGAACAAAAGACTAGGAGAAATACAATCTACTCCTTATGGTACAATGTGCCTAAAAGCATCTGGAGTTCAGACTGGTAGAACTATGAAATAAGAAAGCTTCCATTATTTAGATCCTTATCTACCAAAATGATCATGAAATAAAAAGACTATAAAACTGAATTTTTAAGTAGATTTTAGAGACAATACCATTCTAATAATTCTTGTTAACCTAACAGGATTAAAGTTGAAATTCAAAGAGACAAACTGGATCTAGGCCTCTGGCTTCTGGAGTCTGTGTCACATGTGGAGTTGGAGGTAGTGTGACTTTGAAAAACAAAAACTGGCCTTTGGAATAAAAATCAACTGCAGTCCCTGGTTGAGAATCCAGTTCTCACAAAGCATCGCTCCTGTGTTCTGATGACGATGCAGCTGGTATGTTGTTGCAGACATCACTATAAAGTGATGAATCTCCTTAAAGTGATGAATCTTCTTAAATCAGCAGTACCTTTCCTGGCTCCAGCAGTATGTGGGAGCTGAGAGGGAGAGAGAAATGAAAGGACAGTCTTGGTCAGGTCCTGTGGACAGGCGGGCCTGGAGGTACTGCTCAGTGGTGACACAGACCAGAGGTAACCTGAGCTCCGGGGGAGAGAGTGCTGAGGGCTGGGGCTCAGGCTGCCTCGAGGGGAAGGCAACCTCCACAGGGCCGAGGAAACCCTCCTGATCTTGCAGTCTCACCCTGGTGCAGGGCTCAGGGCTCTGGCTGGCCCACCAGCAGCTGGCAACATCAGCCGCTGTCCTCCGGATCCTCTCTGGTGACCACAGTGAGAACTTTTCACATGGTCTTGGGCAGGGGTGACCTTGGCCCCAGTGACGCACACTCTTAGAGATTGCTACAGGCAGGAGAGGCCGCTTCCATGAGAAACACATCCTCTGTGACTCCGCACACCGGGATGAGGGGATGAGTGTGCAGGCAGTGGGAACACTCAGCAGAAACAACACCACCCTCGGCCAGTCCCACATTTACTAAAGAGGACACACTGAGGCCACAGGACAGGGCAGAAAGATGAGCGCTAGGTGAAGTCACACGAGCCTCCTGGACAGTCCCGGTCCTAGAGCCCAGGACCCAGGCCCTTTCCATAAAAAATCACCTTGGAAGGGCCAGAGGCTCCAATCTGAGGCCTCAACCTCACCATGGCCAAGTGAACCACATGGAGTGATGGGAATGAGGACGCCAAGGCTGGAGAGAAGGGTTTTTCCAAAATGGATCAAGGGAGAACAGAAAAAGGCGTCACTCAGAATGGGAAGAGACAAGGGCAGCCAGTGAGTGTAGCTGCAGCCCAAGGTCCTTTCTAATGCTTCTTAACTAAATTTACAAATCAGTGCAGGGAAGGACCAGACTGAGTTTCACTGTCCTCTCTCCCTCTGTGTTTTCCTTGCTTGGCAGGCTCTTTGGGAAAGTGTGTTCTTAGTACTTGAAGTGAGTGTGCAGAGTGGCACAACAAAGTAATGCAAACAGCATTCTCTGAGTTGCTATTTTCAAACCTCATCATACCTGCTTCAAAGGGCTAAGACTAAAGACTTTTATTTGGAGATTTTCTTTAATGAAAATAACTGACCCAAAGTAGCTGGGTGTGGTGGCGCATGCCTGTAATCCCAGCACTTGGGAGGCTGAGGCATGAGTTTCACCATGGGTTACAGGCGAGTCTGAACTACAGAGAGCAACAGTGTCTTAAAAAACAAAAGCTAGGGCTGGAGATTTAGCTCAGTGGTGCCCCTGCCTGCCTTGCAAGCGCAAGGTCCCAAGGACGATCCCCTGTATTAAAAAAGACAAAAAGCCCAACAAAAAAACCTCCTGGATGATATGTCCAAAAGTAAAACCTTTAAAATGTCCAGCTGATTTAATCAGAGGGCTGTGAAATCAATATGGTGCAATGTAAAGTGTAGATTCTGCACTCAGAATTTTTTTTTTTTGGTACCAGGGATCGAACTCGGGTCCTTGCATTTGTGCAGCAGGCAGCGAAACCACTGAGCTAAATCCCCAGCATGTAAAGTGTAGATTCTACATATAAAAATGAAAACAGTGCTGAATTCCATTATGAGCAACAGGAGATGCATTGCTTTTCCTTGTGTGAGTTTCAATGAAATTAGTACTTCTATCTTACATTATTTTGTACTCCAGGTAGTCTGGGCTCATATTCTTCCAGCTGAGAGGATGTAGCTCAAAATCCAACCACTTCCATGGTTCCCTGTAACTGCTTCCGGGTTAACAGACAGACTGGCTGGGAGGCAGGGAGGCCCCCTGCAGGCTGATGGAGGTGCAGCCCTTGTGTGGGGTGAGCGCACACCGGGGCCCTGCTGAGCTGAACAGTGATCCCTCTCACAGGAAGGAAATGTCACACTCACCGGGAGCTTTGTGAAGACACATCGAGCCCACCTCATGCCCTCGCCATTTAATGAGACCCTCACTAGTGTGTTCGAGGTGCTCATCTTACTTCACATCACCCAGGCTGTGACGCGGGAGCTAGAGACTGTGAGTGACCCAGCCATTCCCGTCACCACTCTTCATCTCGCCATCATCTCTCATGCCTGACTCCTTCCCTCTGGCCCTCCGGGTTCTCTCTTCCCTTCCACAGTTTCAGGCCAACCCTCCCTTGATGGTCAGACTGCTCTAAGTGGCACCAGTCTGGCCCTGAGAGAGCAGAGGCTCCTGTCTCCTCACAGTGCCCTGGCAACTCACACACAGATGGGAGCCTCAGACCCTTCCTTCCTACTTGGGGAGAGCAGCCACTGCTGTCCTGCATCAGCGTGGGTTGCGAATCTCCAGGGATCAGAGCAAAGGCTTAGGTGGCTCTGCCAGTTCCACCGTCAAGGTGCTGTCCAGGCTGCGTTCCCACACAGTTGTTCCCGGGGAAGTATGAGTCCACGGGCACCTCCCATGCTCGGCTGGGAAGCCCTTGTGGCCAGGCTGCCTGGGGGGGTAGTTGAAAGAGGCTTCAGGACGCACAGCTGTGGTCCCTTTGCTGCGCTCCCACAGTACCCATTTCTGATGTCCCCGCCTGTGGGTGGCACCACTGAGTGATGCAGGCACAGAGGGAGACATTGTGTGCATGCAGGAGACCTCACCTTCTGTGTCCCTTGGGATGCTTGGTTGGCACTGCCCAGACAGGACTGGCCCTAAATGGAACAGTCACTCACCTGAGCCCAAGGGCTGCAGTGACAAAGGAGGCCCCACCTAGCACCCCCTCGTCCTAACCAAAAGGTCCCCTGTCCCATTAGAAGGCTACATTAGAAGGGTGCCAGGCTCAGGACACAGGGTGACTTTCTCCACAGCAACAAAAGGACAAGGAAAGACAGGGCCTCATGACTGGCCCAGGGTAAGGGAGTGGAGAAACTGCAGCAGGCAGCTTGTTGTAGGAACTTTCCAGGACTCGGAACCTGGGGACCGAGTGGTGTCTGAGGGTTCTGTCCTCCCCGAATCCCCAGTGTGCTGCACATAGGGGTGACAGGAGCTGAGAGGAAGAGAGTGGTGAGGGCGGTCCCTTACAGCAGGAGCAGCGGAATCTGGATCCTTGGTTGCTAGGGAATGATGCTGGTGTGACACTTACATCACCTGTCCCTGCAGTGGGGCCAGAACAGAGGGTGCAGAAACAACCCTGAACAACATCAGATGTTGGATCTCGGAAAAAGGGGCCAATAACCTAGGCTAGAGAAAACACAGGCCATGGAAAAAGGATGCTGGGAAAACTGGTGGTCCATGTGCCCAAGATCGACTCTGCCCATCTCTCTCACCCTGTGCTGAAAGCAAACGCCAGTGGATCATACATCTGGGCATAAAAACACAAACTCTGGGAGAAGATACAGCGTAGCCATGGACGTCCTCAGTAGAATGCCCACAATGTAGAACAATAACAAGCTACAAAACCTACAAATGGAATTGTATTCGATCATAAAGGTTCCTGGAAGTAAAGGAAACCAACAAGAGAATGAGTAGAGATCTACCAAATGGGAAAGACATTTGTGACAGCCAATTTCTCAGACACAGAGGGAATATCTAGAAATAGCAGAACTCAAAAACATCCAATGTGAAATATAAAAGGTCCTGGCATGCCCACTGTGGGACACACCTGACCTCCGTGCTTCACTCCTTTCCTACAGCCTGACTCACGGCACTAACTGGCCAACTGAAACCAACACATCCTTGACAAAAGCAAGAGAAATGGTCAGCAGGCACGAGACAAGGAATACCCATAAAAACAACACCAGAGTCTGTCTTATTCCAGCAAGAATGTCTATCACGAAGAACAAAGGCTTGAGAGCTTGCGTGGAAAAAGGACCCTTCTGCTTTGCTGGGGAGAATATAAACTGGTAGCACCCCAGTGGAAATTAGTGTGGGCTTTCCTCAGAAAACTCAGAAGAGAATTCCACTGGACCCAGCTACCCCTCTCCTGGGCATCTGTACGAGAGAGTGGAAGTCATCGGAGCATAGTGCTGCATGCACACACACGCTGGCCATTACGACTTACATCTAGATGTCCCCCCAAAGCCTTCTCTGCTCAGAGGCTGTGCGTGTGGCAAGAGACTGGATCAGGCCTGTGATACCAGGGCTAGTGCACAGATGGGTTTATGTCTGGGTGTGATGCTGGGAGAAGCCTGGTGGGAGGAGAGGGTCCTTCTGGCCGTGCCCTTGAAATAGCTAGACCCTTCTTCCTGCCTCCAGCCTTTGCTTCTTACTGCCTGCCTCGCCATGAACTCTTTCTTTTCAACCACGCCATCTTGCCATAGAACCAGCCAACTATGGGTGGAAACATCTACAAATTGTCAGTCAAGGCTCCTGGCACACACGCCCCTCCCCCCCACGCGCTGGTCCTGCAGAGCAGGTTGGCAGGCCTGGCTCCCCTCCCTGGCCCTGATGGGCAGGTGGGAGGGTTGCCCTGAGGAGGAGGGGAGGGGAGGACTGGGCCGGCCGGTGGATGGGCGATGATGCCGAACTTCTGTGCGGCACCCAACTGCAGGCGCAAGAGCAAGCAGTCAGACCTGGCCTTCACGTTTCCGTGGGATCTGGCCAGATGCCAGAAGTGGGTGAACTGTAGGAGAGCAGACTTAGAAGATAAAACACCTGATCAGCTAAATAAACATTATCAATTGTGCGCCAAACACTTTGAGACCTCTATGATCTGTAGAACTATACATTTTGCAGAGGCATCAGAAAACTAAAGAATGATTGGGTTATTTTATTTCTCAAAATTAATTGAAGCAGATACTTGTGAAGTCATTGGGAGAGTCCTTATAGCACCATTCTTTGAGACAATGCAATACCAACAATATTTGATCTTACCAGTCATTTGAACAATCCACATAGTAGCCACAGAAAACAAATAAAAGAATTCAGTGAAGATGAAATCAGGACACTGAAACAGAAAAATATTGATGAAAATTCTGAACAGGAACAGAAGCATAAAGAAACAAACAATAGCAATGCTCAGAATCCCAGTGCCGAAGTTCAGGGGGATGAATAGGATGAAGACATTTTACCTTTAACCCTTGAAGAGAAGAAAAACAAAGAATATTTAAAGTCTCTATTGAAATTTTGATTTTTATGGGAAAACAAAACATACCTCTGGATGGGCATGAGACCGACGAAATCCCGGAAGGTCTCTTTACACCTGATAACTTCCAAGCTTTGTTGGAGTGCCAGATAAATTCTGGTGAAGAGGTTCTGAGAAAGCGCTTTGAGACCACAGCCGTTAACACATTGTTCTGTTCAAAAACACAGCAGAAAGAAATGCTAGAGATCTGTGAGAGCTGTGTTAGGGAAGAAACCCTCAGGGAAGTGAGAGACTCACACTTCTTTTCCATCATCACTGATGATGTGGGGGACATAGCAGGGGAAGAGCACTTACCTGTCCTGGTGAGGTTTGTTGATGAATCCCATAACCTGAGAGAGGAGTTTGTGGGCTTCCTGCCTTATGAAGCTGATGTGGAAATTTTGGCTATGAAATTTCACACTACAATATCTGAGAAGTGGGGACTAAATATGGAGTATTGTCGTGGCCAGGCTTATATTGTATCCAGTGGATTTTCTTCTAAAATGAAAGTTGTTGCTTCTAGACTTCTAGAAAAATAT